GTGGTGAAAATCCCATCATGCACAAGAATCAATTGACCGACCCGGAGTTTCTTTCTCCTAACTTGGCTCATGTAAAAATCCTCATCTCCTGTCCCATAGTTGTTTTTTGCACGTTCTAACCCTGACTACCTCTGAATATGTAAGCAATAGAAGGAATTATGTGGAAATGGAAACCGTAACTTCCTTAGCTTTACAGAACTCTCCGAATGAAATTATGATTCCCGTGATCCGACCAACTGTTGCACCAGGATGTTTCATCGGGCTGAAATAGCACCCTTCTCTTGTTCAGAAAATGACAGTCGGAAAGTAGAAACATTGTGAAGAGCACATCTGGCAGTATCACACCCATGTGTTGGAGAGAGAAAATGATTAAGAAATATTGAATGAGACACCGGGGATCACAGACGAAAGAGCAACAAAGAGATACTGATGACGCTGTCAAGGAGTGGCCAGCTGCGCTCACAAAGAGGTTATTTACAGTAGCAAAAAAGAAAAACTTGGGGCAAACCAAATTCAGATCATCACTTGATGTTCTTTGTGTTGGGTAGCGAAATATTGTAGATGCAGGTAAACTGCACCAGGAAGACCTATATCCAAATAAGCGAGAAGGACCCCAAGCACACACAGAAGTAAGTGAAGAGTAGGCTCCAGCACCGAAGGAGAGGGTGTCGCGAATAAAGTGACCGAGTAAAATTTTTCACCTCATCCCTATCAGGCAAATGTGAGAAGCTCCGAAGCACTGGTCCAAGTATCAGCTGTTCTCTGTATTCCAAGCAATTTTGAGGCGACTTTCTTGGATACTTCTCGAAGTCCTGTAGGGTCCACTCCACGGACGACGAAGGCTGCAATCAAATCCAGTGGCAGGCAAACCTATAGAGCGTTAAGAAGTTGTTTTTTGTTGCAGTTCTGCCGTTTGCTTGCCCTCGCACTGCATAATTGTTGAATAACAACTTTGGAACTGTTGAAAACGCGATTTTGTGGCTTGTTCCAAACATTTTTTCGCTACTCTATATTCAAAATTGTTAGCCGTTTTACCAACGCGAATTCATTTTTTATTGGGGTTTCACTTTTCCAGTGGTTTTACCAGTACTTTCTACTGTGCACTGCAGTGTTCTTCTGTTTAGGGATTAGCTCCTCGAGTTGTCAGCAACGCACTCTACTCGAGCATGGTAATGTTAGCGTACGAGACAGTGAAGAAGCTTTGCGTTTTACCGAATATCAGGCAGCATGTCGGTTTGGTAAACTAGTATTATTTTTGTCTTCCGAAACCAGTTACTGAAAAGTTATTTTGACATTTCGAACCGGTGAAGTATCCACTTTGATACCTTGTGATTGGCCTTTGTGTCACTTTTCTAATACCATATGTCGATCAATGGAATTGCCTTTTTTTTGGTAAACGTCCTCATCTAGTCTTTATAAGAATAACACTTACTTATCCATATGATGAAAATGCCTATTAGTTGCCATGCTTCATATGTGCAGTATTAATCATGGTTTCAATAGGGTTCATTTGTATCTCATATTAATAAGAATTTTCTAGGCCACAAGGCTGGTGTTTGTGTTGGATCGTGAATCTGTTGTTAATAATCTAAACTTAGGGCTTTGCACATATTTCACTGATCCATTTGCTTAGATTGTGTTTTTTTTTTCGCTGCCGACGCATTTAGTCTTTTTTGGAGGAGCTAGGCTAGAAAGCCAAAATCGAGCATTAGCGGAATTCAGCCAGAATTAACGGACCTGGTTTTCTACTCGTCGTTATCAGTGGGTTAGTAGTTGGAGAATGGGATGTTGTCCGTGGCTGAGTGGATTTATGACATCTAATTTGCTTTCATTTTGTATACACATGTTGTAATTACTCAATAACTTAACGTAATAATAAACTGTCCTTCACGATTTATAATTATTGTGCCAGATGGTGTAGCTGATGCACAAAACTATTCATTTATTTTATTTTTATTTGTGTCTGTTGCTCACAGACAAATTGTATACTCACCTTCAAGGACAGTATTTGCTATGTGCGAGGAAAATGGGTTCGCACCTGCAGTAGCGTGTCACTTTCCCCGCTTAAAAGTGCACGAGAACAAGCTGTAGGGTAGCTAAACGCGAGGGCTGTCTCCATACTCCGCTCGCGCTATCCTCAAAGTGCAGCACTTCCGTCCAAAATGCCGCAGCGAATTTGGAAGTACACTAGAGAACTGAGGAGAAGAATGTGAGAGGACGCAGACATTCAGCCCGTCTGGCTATGATTAGGCGCGTGGCTCGCCGTGCGGCAACGTGGGCGGAGTAGCGGGACAGCGTTCGCGTGTCACTGCTTTCGTGCCCCATTACCTCGCAGATGGGAAGTACCGTCGTCCCAGGTAAGCGCACTGTCTGTCTTTACGTAGGCTTGTTGGTTTTCATTTCTACTCATCGTACTGGGCTTTATAGATGGCTGCACGTCGGGCGATGTCCCGGTTTGATCGGGTCAATCAATGGTTGCAGTTTGCCAGGCAATGGCACATCGTAGATGCCGATCATCAGGTGAGTGCAGACTTCGGATTCTGGTTTTGAAACCGCACATCAACCAACGAGAATCCCCTCATCACTGTCTCATGACCTCGTAGAGCCGCAGGTTTCAGCAAGGATAATCCCTCGGGGCATTGTTCACGGTTGGAAAAATAAGGTATGAATTAGCAGAATATAAGATTATAAGTTCAGGTTGTCAGGCTGCGTACAGTACCCCCGAAAATTGCGCGTGAAGTTAAAAATGTTGCGTCGTGAACGCACACAATCGGGCGCACCGTAATCGGTTTGGCTACCCAAGCTGCGGGGTGGGGCGGCCACCCGGGCAGCGACCCGCCCTACCCCTGTAAGCACCGGCCCCTCGGCCAGGCCACAGTACTCCATGCCAAAATTAAATGCTCCGCGTGGTCCCGGATCCGTTGTGTGCATCCACGGCCAATACGATTATTCTCACGCGCCATTTCCGGGGGTACTGCACGCAGCCTGGTAACCTGAACCTATAATTAAATTAGCAGAATGTAAAAAGCAGTATAAATGGGGGAATAGGTACGAGTATAGGAAAAACATACAGGAAAACTAAGAGAGCAGAAGTGGAGTGCATCCACGAAAAGGTAAATACGGACAGGGAAAAATGGAGAATCATGCAAGCGAAACTCCGAAAAATTCTGTGCTTCCGCGACAAGAGTCAGTGACTTTTGAATCCTCTGACGCGCTTCTCCGATGCCCTGATTGAATGTCAGGCACCGCTGAGGAGGATTTTCGGAAAATATGACCTCCCTCCCCAATTCCCTCCTCTGATACCACTCACCCCCCCCTTCCATCACATGTAAAACGGAAAAAAAACTGCGAAAAATCAACAACCGGGAAATTGTTTACTCACGCCACAACTTCTCTGAAAGGTAAAGACGACCACTCCCCTCTCCCAACAACGAGTGTATACGACCTCCCCGTTGAATCCTTCGTGAAGCAAGAAAAATCGACTATCAAAAAATTTTCCCGGCCCAAATACACTACCCCCGCCACCTCTCCCAAGCATCCAATTCCCCCCCCCCCGCGGGGGTTGTATAGGAACGACATTGTCTGTTGGATATAGTCATCCGATGCGGTACATGCAGCTCTTTTTGTCTTTTGTCCCTCTCCAATGATACGTATCTTCTTCTTTTTGTCGATTGTCCAATTTCTCAAAGTGGCATAAAGTGAACAATGTGTCGCTCTCCCCTAGCTTACTGTTTCGATGTTCCACACCCGTTCTTCGACGGTTTTTACGGTTCCAAACTACCATGTAGTTAACACAGTATATTTTTATGATTTTGTTTTATTTTTCTTTCCATAAGACATTACAGGAACCGACATCGCTGTTTTATTTCAGGATGCGTATCTTCTTGGTAAACATGTTGCAATGCACTTGTCCGGAAAGCACAAACCAATATGGCACCGAGAGACGGATTGTGGTGATCACGTAGTGGTGGTTAACTGTAAACATGTAGCCATGCATGGATTCGACTGGAAACATACCTTGTATCACTTCAATAAGGTATATCTCTTACTTAGTGGGGTATACTTTAGTTCGCTGCGTATGAACAGGTGTCACGCACTACGAGTGTGTGCCATAAAACCCGTTGTCTGCCAGTTGCTGACGAGGGTATCCGGCAACAGTTAGTAGAAAACGAGTGATGCGAATGATGTGATACATCCTTCTCACTTGCTCGCTTCAACGACTGATGGAGAACGGGTTTGGGGCTTCGCGCCAGACTCATCCCGCCTGGCACGTCCCTTCCCGCAGCGAACTAGATTATATATCTTTGCTGTGACACACAAATCCTATGGTGACGACGTTGTGCTGCTGACTGCGTGGAATGTCTCATCCTGACCTTTTTGATGGGAAAGTTGTGCTGGTATCGCAGTATCAGCGATTCAGCAGGCATCATGCAGCAATTCGGTTCCCCTTTGTTAAGACTGACTGGTAGCCACATATCTGAATAAAATTGGAAGCTGGGAACTTGCACTCACGAATCTACATAGAATATAAGTGTTCGGAATCTATATCCTGAATTACACTTTGACTTTTCAAGGAATATCCCAAATCGAAGGTCGACATACCGGCGTATCAAATACACGAGTATGATCCGTGCCGAATGGTTTTTCTGGCTGTATATAAGGTAAAGTTTTTGTTGTTTGTTGCTGTGATTAATGTCTCATTGCTTCGGTATTCAGGCATTAGGGCATAATCTGATCCGCCGTCGACACATACAACGACTTCATCTTTTCCCGGAGATGGAAATGCCAGATTTTGTACGAGAAAATTTGGGCAGTCAGGTTAGAGAAGTTATCATTGACTTTACCGGGCCTCGCTTGGCGCTCGCTATTCCTCTTCAAGCGTAACCCTTGAGCGGCGACTTTTCAAAACCGAACTGCAAGCTTTCATGGTATACTTTCGTACTGCTGGCTACTCCTGCATGCTAGGTACTCCGAAGATTAAGCGCACGCTGACTTGAGATATGTATCTTTGGCATGTGCCTTACGGCGCGGACACGGTGCACGCCGCTTCCATATCCCGTCGTGTCTATAGCGACCGGCGTCCGCAAACGCATGTCGCGCGCGGCGCTCCTGGACTTCACCAGGTCTCGTTGTTGCGCCTTCGAATGCGATTAGAATGCAAACTCCTCAGGCGGATGCCAACTGAAGCGTTGCTCGTGCTGCATCAGAAGATGACGTGGGCTAGAATTGCTTCTTGCTACAATACTGTGAGTGAGAGGAGTTTGCGTTCTGGTCGCATTCGAAGGCGCATACAACGAGACCTGGCAAAGTGCCAGAAGCGCCGCGCGCGGCACGCCTTGTGCGGACGCCGGTCACTATAGATGCGACGGGGATACGAAAGCGGCGTGCAGCGTGTCTGCGCCGTAAGTTGCCTTTGAGGCGGAGTGTGGAGGAATTAGCTTATCCTACGGTCCTGGAGCTCCATCCCTGCGCATGTTCGGGAGGGGATACTACTGGGGCCTCGTCCCGCACTTGCCAAAGATACACATCGCAGGTCAGCATGCGTTGAATGTTTAGGCTTGCGAAAGAAGGGCACTTGGGCGAAAACTCATGGTTTAATTTATGATTCTATATTTTCCGGATCATTACGCATACAGTTATGAAAATACCAAGGCCTCAGATCTAACAGAGGAGGAAAGTTCTTTTTTGCAGCTAGAACAAGTTCAGCGAGTTCCGAAACGAAGTGACGAATACACACCAGAAGAACGTGCAAAGTTCCCTAGGCTGCTAAGGTAAGCTGACTGGCTCTCACTTCATTAATAGTTATTTTAGAAGTTCGTGAATCATGGGACTTTAAAGACACGGTCTCCGATAAGCTAAAACTAGAACATTTTAAATGTCCGGTACCCCATCGCAGAGGGTGTACTACACTCGAGAACTGGCACGCAACGCGCAGAAACGTTAGCTGATTGGCCCATGGGCACTCAACAGCATTACGCGGGCCTACATTGCCCGTGTCGCCATGATAATGCCGTCGTGTTCTCTCGGCTTTCCCATTTTTTGGTCTGTTTCACGCTTCTCAGTCCACCGTCACCTTTCGCATAATGCTGTTGATCTTGGTCATCTCATGCTTGTACAGTGCGTGTGATGAACTGCAAGAAGGAAAGCATGATTGAGGATGATTTTCCTGCTTTCCTCTCCACTAGTAAGTCAAGTAGTACACTGCTCTTCTGTTTTCGAACTCTACCTGCTACGTGCCATCACGGGAACTGCCTTCAACGGATGGAAAATGAGAGAGTCTGAAGCAGAGTGAATCTTTACTACTGTTATTCACCTTGTCTGCTTTTTTTTTCTCGACGTCTTTGAATGGATAATTGAGAGTAGGAGCCCGTTAGAAAATGCAGAGGTGATGGATTTCACGGGCATCATTGGCAGCGCAGGGAGGCATTCGTCATTTCTAACGGCCTGTCCATTGAGGTCTTAACCCGTTGAGGGTAGGTAAAAGACATTGAAAACTTCCCGGGAATAGTACAGCGCTTTAGATACGTACAAAGGGGAGAGGTACTGCTTACGGTCTGTAACTCCGGAGAAGACATTGGAAGGAGAGACGCAAGAGTTAAACCGGCGCAAACGATTAGGTTCATGTCGACCCGGTTGGCTCCGCCATCCCCATGTTTCGGAGCATATCAAAGAATTCATCAAAACGGTCAGGCACTATCGATCCAAAGATCGCAGCTTGAACGACACTCGACAACTCCTACCCTTTCTGTTTACAGTGGACTTGATAGGGATTCTGCCGCTTAAGACACATGGTACGCTCATACACATTGAGGGTGTATGAGACTATCAGCCCCCCAGATGTCGATGTGTCGTGGTCCCCCGCCCAAACATGCCCAGGAATGGAGATACAGGGCCGTGAAACACGCTAATTCTTCCATGCTCCGCCACTGCCTTTTTACGGCGCAGATTCCCGCCGTTCATAAACATCCGTTCCGTAACGCGCGCCTGTGCGCCGGCGGCTCCTTACACTTGCCAAGTCCTTAAAATTGCGGCTCTCAAATCCAAGCTGAAACGCGATTTTCTTGATGCCGGAGTACACATTGGAGTGCGCAGCAGAATAAGAGCAGAGGACGATTGACTAAGGGCCCAGACACTCAAAAGCAATCGGCTGCATCTGCAGTATCCATCAAGGGCCGCCCATTCCAAAACATGAAAATAAAAACAGCCCAAGCGTCCCACTCGTTTGTTCTAAGTATTTCTATGGCTTTGGCGCCGGATCGTAGAAATTTACAGGCCAGTTTATCTAATTTGCCTTTCCTTGATTTTTTCATTTTTGTTTTGTTTACATTTACATCGTGGTGCTTCATTATCTTAGCGCTCGATGTCCTTCATCTCCTTGTACATGGATTTTGAAGCATGAGCAACACCTCAAATTTTATTCGCATCAGGAAATTGCGCCTTGCTTGTATTAAACTAACGAGTATGCCGTTTTTATTTCCATGTTTCGTGGAAGTACGTGGCTTCCGAGGGATGTTGCAGAAGTGGCACAGTTGCTTTTGAGTTCTGACCCTCGTCATCATCTTCTGTTCTTACTTTGCAGCACTTCCAGTGTTATCCGCATCAGGAAATTGCGTTTTACTTGTATTGAGAGCGCAATTAAAGGACTTGGCAAAGTGCCAAGGAGCCGCACGCGACAGGCGCGCTTACGACGGATGTTATGAACGGCGGGAATCTGCGCCGTAAAAAGGCAGTGGGCGGAGCATGGAAGAATTAGCGTGTTTCACGGCCCTGTATCTCCATTCCTGGGCATGTTTGGGCGGGGGGACCACGACACATCGACATCTGGGGGGCTGATAGTCTCATACACCCTCAATGTGTATGAGCGTACTATGTGTCTTTAAAGCATGTTACGCATATTGGCCTGAAGAATCTGCAGATTCAGCAGAATGTGAGGAAACGCAGAGAGAGCAGAGCTAAATTACCAGTTGCTATCGAATCTTTGATTTCGGTTTCAATTCCATTTCCACTGACTTCGTGGATTATTGAAATCGATACGCGTCCATTTTTTCCGCAGGTTCCGCGAACGACGAACTATAAACTGTTAGCTGTGTGAATAACTTTCTGTTCGTGAAATTGTACGTTTCTAGTGCCCCTTCCTAGAGAATCCATCAAAAAAAGCTCCTGATAATTGGAAGAAGGTTTACGGAGAACTGAGAATTGTTCGGATCCTTTAAATCGCGTCATTTGTTTGATTTTCTACCCTTGAATGCGTATTGCTAAAATAGCATCGTTATGACTTGCAGGACACTGGAACTTGAACAAGTAGTGGCTCATTCACGCCACCCCTTCCCTCATCTTAGGCATAGTCCTGTTCGCTGGGAATGCTGGGGCGTGTCAGGGGGCTCAGTTTTGCGCGGCGCCAGCCCAAGTCCCACCAGTTGTTGTCACTTGCTCCCTTCAAAATCTGTGGGTAACAGGCTGGCCGCTAAACGCACGCCGAGTTGTGTGTGCCTCCCTAACACGTCCCAGCACCCGTAGCGAGCAAGACATAGACTGCTCCCTTTATTCATGGTATTTTAGCCTAGCACCTTTCAAAACTTACCCAATGGCAAATGTTCCATGATTTCCTTAATATTCTTTTCAAATACTCGATACTTTATAGGTTCCCGGCAGATCACGTTGAGGAATGGGAACGCAGCATTCCGAATCCTGGCCGATACGAAAAGCCTCCTTTCGGTAAAAAATAATGAACAATAGGGGAATAATGACTGCAATCTCGTTGTACTTCCTCCTAGGACTTTTAGATTGTTGTATAGAGTTTATTGTTACTTTGTTAATTGTTTTTGTACGTCGAACGCTTCAATTCTGTATTGAGTTATTGACAATATGGCAACACATATGGAAGAAGCACTTGCATAAAACGGAAAACAAGCTCATGATCCATGTCACCCTTTAAAAGAATAAAGAATG